TCATCGCTCCAACCCTCGGCTCTCTTTCCTTTTGGGTTCTGTTCCGGCGTTGTTGGGTTGATTTTTTGGGGGCATCAGATCCTGCTCTCCTTTTGCATCTTTGGGTTTGGTTTGAGAATTCAGAGCTCGTGGTGCTGAGTGCCGCCGTTGGGTTGGGGCCAGCGCTGCATGATGCATCTGTGTAGAGTCGTGGGGTCGTTGGAGGTGGGAATGAAGGCTGAGGTCATGAGTCCGACCCCCAAATCATCCCCACCATGGAACTGTTGAGGTTGGAAAGACCTCTGTGGTCATCCAGCCCCCAAATCATCCCCACCGTAGAGCCACTAAGATGGGAAATGACCACGGAGGTCATCCTACCCCCATCCCATCCCCATTATAGAGCCATTAAGGCTGGAAGGAACCACTGTGGTCATCCAACCCCAACTCGTCCGCACCACAGACCCATCAAAACTGGAAAGGCCACTGTAGGGTCACCCCGTTGCCCTCAGCCCATCAATCCCACTCCAGGTCCTTCCATAGGGTCGCACCATTGGCCTCAACCCATCCACCCCTGTCCAGATCCCTCTGTAGGGTCACAACCTATCAATCCCTCTCCAGATCTCTCTGTAGGAGCTCATCATTTCCTCTCCAGATCCCTCTGTAGGATCTCAGCCCGTTGATCTCCCTCCAGATCCCTCTGTTAGGTCACACCGTTGGCCTCAGCCCACTGATCCCTTTCCAGATCTCTCTATAGGGTCGCACCACTGGTCTCAACCTCTCCAGATCCCTCTGTAGGGTCTCAGCCCATCGTTCCCACCTCTCCAGATCACCTCTTCTTTTTAATTTACTTTTCCACTCCTCTGCATGCAGCAGTTTGCTTCTGAGGCGCGTTTGCTTCGTTTCTCCTTCCCTTGGAGGAGGTTGGAGTGCATTCTGCACCAAAAAAAAAGCCTTTTTTTGGAGAGGAAATCTGCTCTTTTCGGAGCTTCAGAAGGAGCCGAGAGCACAGCTATCACCGTCCCCCAATATTCTCCCATTCCTGATCCCCCCCCCCCCAAAAAAAGAAGGCAGAAATTCAGCGGAAGGAAAATTTCTCACCCTGCGCTGCGCTGTATGAACGAATGGGGGGGGGGGGAGGGAGGGATGGCTGATGCTGCAGGGAATCAAAGACCACTTTGTGCTGCTTTCCCCTGCCCCGAGCCCCCCACCCTGACGTCTGGACGGGGGGTTTTGCCACCTCCTCTTCAATATTTCACCCAGCCACCCTGGATTCTGCAGCTCAGCCTTAAGCAAACAGCCCTCCCTTAAGCTGGGACCGCTTCATTTTGACTAAACCCTGACCAAATAAGCTGGTTGCACAAAGCAACCCCCCTTTCCTTCACCCTCCTCCTCTCCCCCCCCCCT